GATCGACGCCGCCAAACACGCGCACAAGTTCTGCAACGCCGAGGAGGAGGAGAGCGTCTACCTGCGCAGGTGGGCCGGCGCCCCGCTCGGCTGGGGCTCGCCCCTGCTGCGCGCCGGCAAGGACACTGCTGGAAGCGGCGTCTGAAGGGGGCCGGTGAAGGAGCTCGGGTTTGATGCCCCCCCCGCCCCTTCCCCCGCTGAGGATTACCCCTCGCAGCTTCCCCAGCGTCTGCCCCGTTTATCCTCTCCGTCTGCTGTGTCCGTTTCCCTTGCTATCCCAGATGGGGAGATCCTTCAAAGTCCCTCTGTAATTTGGGAAAAGTGAGCGTCCCAGCCTTCATATCCCTATCCTGCTAGAGTCACTTCCTTTTACAGCCGAGTGGTCGTGTCTGGGGCCTGTGCGCTTTTCTTAACGTGCTCTCTCTCTCCCCCCAGGCCAGAGGGTATAGAGCGACAGTACAGAAAGAAATGTGGCAAGTAAGTGACAACAGAGCCAGTGTTCACAAGACAGCAGAAAACAGTGTTTGTGCGTGCTTGTTTACATTTTTCAACCCTCCTTGATTTGCCGTGCCTCCTTAGAAATAACATTTTAATCCCTGTTTTAGTTACTGAAAATAGCCCTCCTGAGAAGGGTCTGTTACAGTGTTTTACAACCTTGATCCATGTCAAATCTAAAACTAGAATACTGCTTGACGCTTCCTGTCATTTCTGTACAGCACTGTTTGTTTTATTGAGCTACTTGTTTTTGTGACCTAGGAAAACAGGGATGAGCTAAGCGTGTGTCACTGAGTGCAAAGGAAAATGGGAACACTAGGATAATCAAAATCAGAAGTTACTGACTAATTTTTAATGGCTGCTGATTTATTCTGGTATCATGCGTTTTTGTAAAAGGCTTCAACCTTTCAAAGTGCATTTCAACCCTTAATTGCTGCAAGAACAGGAGCATGGCAATCGTGATTTCGTTTAGTAATTTTTGGAGTCCGTCTGTTAGGTAGCTACGGGAATCCAGAATCTGGGTTTTCTTACAGCTAGATATGTTTCTGTTTTCAGGTGTGGACTGCTGCTCTTTTATCAACACCAACAGAAAAACGCTCCAGTGACTTTCATTGTCGATGGTGCTGTGGTCAAATTTGGCCAGGGCTTTGGGAAAACAAACATATATACTCAGAAACAAGAGCCTCCCAAAAAGGTAATCAGCTTTAGAGCAGTAACAAAGCTGTCTCTGCTTTTCAAAAAGGTGCAGTGGATAAAATGGCCTAATTGGGAGGAGGAGGAGGACCTGTAATAAGATAACTCAGCTCTGTCTTCTCCATGTGTGCCTTTAGTCTTTCGTTACAGAGGTCACAGCAGCTTGGAGTCCTAGAACTAAAGGACAGCAAAGTGAATTTGGAAGTCTGGACTCTGCCTGATCTTTGGCCTCAGTTACCAGAAAGTTTCAATTTGTAAATAGGTCAGACTGGTAGTCACCCCAGTCTGTGTTGCCAAGCGCACAGATTCTCAAAATCTGGCTCATCTAGTTATATGTAGGCAAGTTTGCTCCTGATAATGACAGCTTTGAGCCCGGAAATCACTGGGGCTGCTTCTGCTGTGCCACCCACAAAGTTCATGTAATCTTAATGACTTGTATAGAAGCCTTAAAAGCTTTGGGGTGGGGAACACTTAGTAACTCAACTGTTCCCAGAGTCTAACAAAATACTCTACTTGTCGTGCAGGTGATGATGACCAAACGGACCAAAGATATGGGCAAGTTCAGTTCGGTCACAGTCTCCACAATCGATGAAGAGGAGGAAGAGATTGAAGCGGTGAGTTTTCTCTGCCCTCAGTGCCAGTCAGATCTGAGCTGGGCAGCTGAATCAGAGCTGATGGTTACCTCACCAGCTGGATGAGATGCTGTTAGTCTAGGGTTTACTGTTGCAAAGTGACACTGTGTTTCAGAGGGAGATTGCAGACTCCTATGCACAGAATGCAAAAGTGATTGAGAAGCAGCTGGAACGCAAAGGCATGAGCAAAAGGCGGCTACAGGAGTTGGTGAGTGTTTTCCTCACTGTTGAACACCAGTCCCTGTGATCTGTTGGCTGTCTATGCAGAAGTTATCTTGCAGATCAGACCGAGTATATCAGAGTATAGAGAGGTCTTGGTACAGTCATAGGTAATCTGTAGCTTTGTCAGGATCTTTTTTCCTTTACAGATTGTACAGAGGTGTTCCTCTAGTCCTCCTGAACTTAAAATCATGCACAACTACCTATCGAGCTAACCAAGGAGCAGCAGGCAGAGCTTTTGCAGGGAGACTCTCCTTGACCTGTTGGACAAGGAAAGTGGAAGGAGAAAACCATGCTGAGGCATTACCAACCAGAGCACCCCCAGTGCTGTGCTCTCAGGCTTGCTTGCCAGAGTGGGTCTTTGCCATGAAGCGCTAGTGGGAACTAATGCCATAGTGGAGGACCTGCCAGCTCTGGGGCGCTGGAAAGGTCACCTGGAGAATCAATGGCAAGAACATCCCAGCTCATCTTACCTGCTGTGACAGGACAGTAGAGGGGAAAAATCTTGCAGCTCACACCTGAGGATAGAAAGTATGAAACTGTCTCCTGTGTAGTTAGTCTTGGGCTTTTCATAACTTTAAAGGTGCTCCCCTTTTGGCACCTCAGGGGAGGAGTGAGTCAGTAAAGAACTTGAGCCACTCCTGTTCCTGGTGTGAAAAGCTTCCTGTGGTCATATAAGACGACCAGATCTCATTGGACACTGAAAAGAAACGTTCCCAGACATTATTTCATTGTCTTAATTTTCTTAATCAGGCTGAGCTGGAAGCCAAGAAAGCCAAGATGAAAGGAACCCTGATCGATAACCAGTTCAAATGAAACGCTCCACATCGCTGCGTATTTGGAGATGGGAGGGAACTACCAGGAACTCCTGCAGCTCTGTCTCAGCATAGTAGAAATAACGGACAATATTCAAGAGCAATGTGCTGCAACCAGCTTGAAAGTTGAGTCTCTCCCTAGTATGGGTGATGCTCTGATATTTTAACAACTTCAATGGCACTGGAAAATTATCTGAAACTGCTTTTTTTTTTTTTTTTTTTTTTTCTTTAAAGCAACATTTCATCACTTTTTTTTTTTTTTTTTTTTTTTTTTTTTTACACACCCAGTGTTATGCCAAATAGCAAGCCGTTTCAGCCAGAACGCTTAGTTTTGGGGAAATGCTTTACTGGGTGCCTGCATAGGTTCAATGCACCTTTACATGCTTGTCTTTTTGTTTTGATAATTTGCAGTTGCGCATAAGATTTCCATAAATGTAGTAGAACAACAGGCCAACTGTGCAACAAAGAAATCCTTACAAAAACAAGCTATGTGCCTGTTGTTCTTTCTGTTGTTTTAAGGGTATCCGAATCGTGCAGTACACGCTGAGAAAGCTGCCGTTTCAGCAAAGGCTGGAACAACTCAGGCGCAAGGTTTAGGAATCGCACTGCCGCTCACCCTGATCAGCAGAGGGGCTGGCAGAGGTAGTAGGTTAGGCTTGGCAGTAGCTTTCTAAGTCTTAGCTCCTACTGAACATCAGAAAGCAGCAATTTTACAGAATTCCACAATTAAAACTA